GGGGGGGGGGGAGGATCAAGCTATTTAACACCTTGCTGACTGGCTATTTCCAGCCCGAACTCAACTGTGTGGCTGGCCACTTTTCTGCTCTTTTAAAACTCTACATTGCTTTCAGACCTTAAAATTACTTAAATTCATGTAAGCGCAGACAAGAATTATCTCGTGGCCAGTCAGCAGTGTTCTGACACGAAAACAGGAGTATATCTGTGATGACTCAGCAAGGTGGTTTAATATCTGTAATTGGAGTTCTAGAAAATGGTAGCAGATATATTATGGAAGTGGGAGGAGACAGATAAATTATCTGAAGTTAAGAGTCACAGTTTTTCCAACTCTGAAGAAAACTATACACTGAAAGATTCAAGGAGCTCAATAAACCCCACCAAAATAATAAAAATATAGTCCACAGAAAGATACCTCTTAATCAAATTGCTGAAAAAAAGTAATAAAAAGCAAGTCTTCAAACCAACTGTTAGGGGTGGAGATGTTGGTCATGCTCTGTTGACTGTGATTGCTAGCTATAGTTATAAGAAATACTAATCACATTCTGTTAACTGTGATTATCTGTTCTAATTAGAAAAAGCACTTTCTAACCTGTCTGGGAGTTGTATGCCCAGGATATGGGAATTACCCTTGGAATGGGGTCCATGCTCCTTTTCTGAGAACTTCCCATGATAATGGAAAGATTAACAACTTGTTCCTGGGACAATGGAATCCCTGGGGGCATCTGCCCTTTGCAACCCCCAGCCCACACTGCCTGTAATCTGGTCCCGGAGGCACCCACCTGGAGTCCCCGAGGTGCCCACCCTTTGGGACCCCCAGCCCACCTTGCCTACTTCCCCATGCCTGTAATTCCTACTTTCCTATGTCATCCTTGTCTTTCTACCCAATAAAAGCAGCTGGCTTACTGGGGAGGCAGAGCAGGTTTTTGTGGATGAGTGTTACTGCTCTCCCAATTTGAGGGCAACATTGGAATAAATGCTCATATACAATTCAACCCTGTCTTTGCTTAATTGGCTCAAGTGTTGACAGGCAGCCCGGACCCATTGTTGTCCGGTTTCACAACCAGAAAGAAAAAGGAGCATTACATGCCGAAGGACATAGATAAGAATGACCACAGCCTTTTATTAGAAGACCTGTACAAGGACAACATTATCTTTAAAAGTGCTGAAGAAAAAATAATAAAACCATAACCCTATTCAAAGGGAAGTATTTTATTAAATGAGGGCACCTTAAAACTTTACTCAGGAAAAATGCTGAGAGACGTCATTGAAAGCAAATTTGCACTACAGAAAATTATAAAAGCAGTTTTTAGGCAGAATAAAAATAATACAAAATAACTTTGATGTATAAAAAAGAATGAAGAGTTCCAGAAAGACCATCATTTGTGTCAATATAGATCATTCCTTATTTTAAAAATATCTCAAAAGATAAATAAGTATTGAAAGCAAAAATATCTTAGTAGTATGTTGGGTTTGTAACACATACAGAATAGAAGTGTATGCCAACAATAATCTAAAAGAAGAGGTGGAAGAAATTGGAAATTTCTTATTACTTATGTGTACCACATCATTTGAAGTTACATGTGACAATACAAAAATGCATTTTGTAAACTCTTAAAACAACCACTAAAAATAATAAAACTAATAACCCAATAATGGGGAAACAAATCATTAAAATACCAAATTAATCTTTTAAGAAGGCAGGGAAACGTTGAAACAGTGAACAAATAGAACAAATAGAAAACATAGCAAGATGACTTATACCCATCCATATGTTCCTCCAGACATGTCCTGTATATACAATTTCCATGTTATCCGAGAGCTCTGCTGTGCTGTGCCATATTTATCAGAATGTCTTTCTGAAAGTACACAAATCAAAACATTTCCCAACTCTTAAGATTAGCCAGTGGGTTTCTATAATGGGAGCTGTTTGCACCAAGGCCCAATAATAGACTAGCAATTGTCATTCGAAAAAGCGATACTTTGCCACTTGCAAGTGGATTTTGAATCCCAAATTCCAAAAGGCACCACTAGGTGTCAGTGCTTGACTTCATCTGCAAGTGCTGAGCAGTGGCTGTGGCAAAATCATCTGTACAGGCCAGTTTTTGTTTTAGATCCCACTCTGATAACTGTCTGTGCTTCTTTTCTAATGTATGTATTTTCGTTATACACTCTCTTCTAAGACCAGTTTTGGCTGCATCCCACAAGTTTTGCTATGTATGTGGTGTTTTCATTTTCACTTAAGTAGAAATATTTCTAATTTTTATAGTGAATTATATTGTTGACCATGAATTATTTAGTAATATGTTTATGTTTTCAAACAAATGGGGATTTTCTAATTATCATGTTATTAACTTCTAGCCTAATTCCATAGCAGCCAAAGAATGTTCTTTACATAGCTTTCATCATTTTAAATTTGATAATAATTGTTTATAGCCAAGAGTATTTTTTTAAAAATGTTCCATGTGTACTTGAAACGAAGGTGTATTATGACATTACTTGATACTGGGTTAAATATGTGTAAAGTAGATTAATTTTATTAATTATGTTTTCAAAATCTCTTGTACTTATTTTTATCTGTTTATTCTATCAGTTACTGAAAGACGTGTGTTAAATCACTCACCATGAGTCTTTGGCTTTTACAAATCCTTCAACCTCCCCATGAGAACCCACAGACAAACTTGGATGATAAAACCAAAAAACAATGGACAACATAATAGGAAACAAAGTATAAGCTAAAATGTAAAGTACTGAGGGAACCCCCGAGGAAGAACAGGGGGAACAAGCCACCAGCAGCTCAAGGCCTGTGCAGCATCAGCATCTGTGTGGGAGGAAGCCAAGGGAGGCAACAGAGAAGATCTTACCCACAGGCATTCACCCAAAGTCCTGGGAACTAACTGGAAATCAGCTGAAACTGGCAGGGATTTAATTTAAGCATCCTATTAGTGGGTACAAGCTATAAGCAGTTCCATCTGCAGTGATGGGACAGTCTGGGCCCTACTACCCCTTAACAGTAACCAATCAAAACCTCTCCTAATCAGAGCTCCCCACTAAGAAGAAACTGCTGGGAAAAGACTCCAAATTGAGCAGAACAGGGGAAGAGATGATGCAGATTCCCTGGCCAATACAAAATATAATACTTCACAACGACAGAAGAGGGAGCTTGAGAGCCAAAAGTTAGGAAATATGCAAAAACTTCTAAAAGATAATGAATTTCATGAAAATGAGCATCAGAAAGTGACTGACATTAATGTCACTGAGAATTAATATAAGAGCAAGCACAATAAGAAACAATCACCTCTCCGCAGGCAATGAAAGAATAACAGAAAATCTTGCCCACAAAGCAGAAGAAAACTATAATTTTAAATGCTTTAAAATTACCCAAAGCTATTAAGAAAATGATTTACAACGTGAAAGAGCAACATAAACCAAAATATAAGGCTTGAAAATTAATTAGTAATAGCCAAGAAATAATCCAGAAAACAAAACAAAACACCTTTTCAAAAATGAAGACTAGACCAGAATGGACATAACAGAGACCAAAGAGTACAGATAATATCATAGGGAAAATATATCCTAAAAACCAGGAAAAAGTCTAAAATAAAAAGGAGTTTAATGGCTACACACTACATAATTTCATTTCTATGATAATCTAGAAAAGTTAAATTCATAGACACAGAAAACATCAGTAGTTGCCAGGGGCTAGGGGAAGGAGGAGGCTGTGTTTTCAGGTGATGGAGCCTTCGTTGTGGAGGAACTTACATGATCGTATGCATTTTTCAAAATGCATAGCATTGTACAACAAATATAATAAGCTTTATAGTACGTAATTGTAAAAAAGGGAATGTGAAGAGAAGGTTAGAAACAAGATTAAAATGAATTTTAAAATCAACAAATAATGAACACAGGGAATGAACATCAAACACAGATATGATGAAGTTTCCCATAAAAGAAAAAACTAAAGCAAGGGAAGGGAACAATTACTAAAAACCGTAATTCAAGAAGATGTCCCTGAAGTTAAAAATAAAAGATATGAAACTAGCATGAGAATGCCTGGGAAAAACCAAACCAGATTAACCAACACTGAAACATATTTCCCTTCCATCTCTATGCAAATATCTTACACATTGCATGACAGAATTCATGCACAAATATTCACATTGATGGAAAAGGGTAGAATAATAAATAGCCCCAAAGGTGATGGAATATAAAATCATATACTTTTGACACTGCCATGAATTTCCTAACTTGTGACAACTTATGTGAGGAAAAAAAACAAAAAACAAAAACTACTAAGAAAGACTACGTCAAAGAACGCCTTTTTGAAGTGATACAGTAGCTCAGCACCTGAGTCTGAAAACTGCTTTATCTGGGGCAAGTTTTGAGGAAAATTACTGAACAGAATGTGGTTTCAGATGAAGCAAAACCACAAATTTACTTTTGAATTAAAGTGCCATGAATAAATTTGCATATTGCAAGGTGGACTCAGCCACCTCCTTGGTTTGGGTATTTTTAGATGTGCTTTAGGGGTAGTGAATACAAGTGGCTGTAAAGGAGAGAGGACTTCCTGTTGGAGGTGGTAGCCAACGAAGGTGTATCCAGATGATCTTCCTGCAGGGTCGGTGATGGTTTCTGCAGAGGCTTGGAGCACACCTCTGTGAACTGGCCTGGCCATAGGGTCATTAATCACTCACCAAGGCATTTAGCTGAACCTCTGGGATTTTAATGCCCCTGGTACTTTTGGCAGCTAGAGCTAAATAACTTAATTCTTAATTAGGCCTTTGTTCACATATTAAACCTCTCTTCCTGCTCAACTTTGTTCTCACAAATGTAGTCGTAAGTTGCTGAGTGGTGTCTCTTCGTCAAGCAGGAGGAGGTAAGTTCAGGGTCTCAGGAAAATTTATGAGTTTGTTTTGCTGAAGGAAAGAATGTCTTCCAGGTAGCTGCGCCAGTGGCTGACACCCAGGAGTCTGATAGGAGAAAGTGTTGTCTGTCACTAAAGAAACACAGGCCTCTCTCAGTTCCATGGAGCTCCCCCTCCCCTGCTCCCTAACTGCAGAAAAACTTCCTACTTTTGCTTTTTGAGAGAGCTGGTCTGAGAAATCTTGCTCTCTCTCTTCCTCTCACTTTGGCTAAATCAAATAAACCTTCCTGTATCTCCAAGCGCTGGTATCTCAATATTTTGGCTTTATCTGCACAAGAGGTTTTTATTTATACCGGTAGCCAGTATCCTAATTGATGACAAAGAACTAGAATCAGATTCAGTATCACACAAAAAATACCACATTTTTATAACTTAAAAAAATCTATTTTAAGAAAGTAAAAAGGAAATTAAATCAGAACTATGACAATATAATTTGTTATAGTATCAAATTTCTGTATAGCTTTTATAAACCTCAGTGTGGAAAAACAACTGATTTCAATGCCATTCATTTTGTTTTAATTTGTGAGAATCATGGATGCTTTTTTTATCTTTTGGGTGCTGAAGTTAAGCTGAATAAAAATAGCATTTTGCACATAGTTAATTTCTTTCTACATTAAAAAATAGTATGTGTTTTATGGGCTGTTGAAATTGTCATTTTTAATTGCCTTCTGAAAAAGGGAGTTATGATATAACGTCTGGTCTCAACTGAATGAGTTAGATATCTCAGTTGCTCTTGGGTCAACTGGCTTGTAGATTTTTACCCTTCACCCCTTACCCCACTTACAGGTACACACACACACACAAACACACACAAACCACACACATTTCTAGCCACATTTTTATTCTTAACTTGATTCTAACTGATTATGCTTAATATCTAAGATTCATACTGCTCTACACATTTTTTCCCCCCCAGCAATAAATCTTCAGTTTTAGTACATGATTCCACTCAACAAAAGGCTTGCAGAACTGATTTACTATTTAGGGTATTTTGAGATGATATACATTTGAGGGTGTCCATAGAAAACCATTTTACTGCATACTCAGATGGACATAGATTGTCAAAAGCATATTTTGATTAAATTAAATTATAATGTTGATCTGTTGCTTTATAAAAAAATAAAACTTGACTGAAAATATAAAAAGAGGGCTTCCCCAAAATATCTTAATCCTAATCCCTGTGAATATTACTTTATAAGGTAATATAAGGATAAA